CTGCATAATTCATCAATCTGATATGTGGGCAATAAATCTGGCTGTGTAACTACAATGGGAAAAAATTGCTATGTAAACTATTTTCACATTTAGAAATTACTATTGTGTTTTAAAAACAATTACAAAGAAAAAGCAAGTAGCCTAACATTGAAGTAAACTTACAAATTTGAGGAAGAAAAACTGAAATGGTATTTTCTTGTAAAACATAGGGTGAATTCAGATAAAGTGGGCCCTTTATGCTTGATTGTACTGTGCTTAAATGTGTTTAAGCACTTTCTGAGCATGGCCGTATTTAATGGACCACTATTTCTTTAAATGATAAAATAGTTTTACCTTGGTGGTTGTGGTCACACTACAAAGGAGGACTTTCTCATCATGAAAAGTAGCAAGAATTTTCTTTTCTAACTTAAGGCTGATCACTGCATGTAAACACATATTATTATGACAGCACTTGTATTATTTGTTGCTGCAGTTGACATGGATTAAAATGCAAAAAATACATGATTTTTTGTTTTTCTTGTAAGGTGGTTAAATATTGCTTGCCCACTTTGGCTGAATGTGCTAGATACAGCGAGGCACCTTGAACCTTCAGTAATTCTACTCACATTCATGAAATAAACTAACATTCTGATTGTTTTATAATTTACATGTATGATTGATTTTTTTTAGAAAACAGAAGTGTGCAGTTAGTAAATTCAAGTCAGAGATGTAAGAAAGGAAAAAGAAAGCAGAAACAAAGGTTAGGCATGAGGTTAAATCTGGAGTGAAAAAAGGATGAGAGAAGCAAAACATACATGCAGAGTATACAGCTTTAAACTATGATCACAATTAAATTGTGTTTAGAGAAAAGAGACAGAAAAAGGTGTTACAATATTACATTTAAATATTGTAAATAAATAAATACATTGTTAAACATATTTGATAAAATGTGTTAATAAACATAAAAAATGTGTTTTTATAATTTCCTATTAAGATACAGGATCATTTTTTAATAAGATGGCCAACTGGTCCAGATCACTAGTAGTTCCTGCAGGCTGACAAGGTAATGCTTGAGTAATTAGTGAGGGGCTAATGTATTTTTCACTTTAAAGCTAAAGTGCTACTAAGGAACTACTAGTGATCTGGACCATTATTTTAAAGTGAAAAACACCTTAACCACTCAGTAATTACTAAGTAATTTAATAAGTTATTTAACATTTTATATCTGACATACTGTACAGTCATACATTTGACATATTTTGCCAGTAGGTCTTTTGGAGTGGGATACATATTGAACTGACACGAAACAGTGCTCATAATTGTGAACTAATTGAATCATGAGCTTGTCAGCATCACTTCCTAATTATTAACATTTTTAAGTGAATTATCATTTTTATTATTATTCTATGTTTAAGTTTTAAATAAACGGAGAACATCCATCCTTTGGTAAGAGTAGTAGTCACAATTTTAAAATGTAGCCGATTTATTTGGGGGATGTCAAATTCATAAATTAGTTTCCACAAAGAACCCAGTTGTTCACTTTTAAGACGTTACTGTTGTGATAAGCAATTAATTGTTTATTCTTTATTAACTGGTCATAGTTCACAAGTAGGCCTAGTTCTCAATGAGGATATTTTTTATTTAATAATTATCAAATATCTAATAAGGAACTACCTTTGTCCTAAATTTGCTACTACTTACTGCTTAGTTAATCTTGCTCCTCTATTATTTAATAGTAGCCTATTAACTTAAGTGTTAATGTAGTACTACCTATTACTTCCTGCATAGTTACTTGTTAACAACGGACCATTATTCTAAAGTGTTACCAGATCATGTGAGGATCCACTAGGTGGCGTTCTGCAGTAATCTTCTTGAAGGTTTCATTTAAAGCTTGCATTTTACTTTAGAAACACTGGAGCATACAGTGAGCTTATATTCCCCCTGCTGGTCAAGTGAGTTCCCTTCAGGAGCCAGAAGCATTGGAGGTTAGTAGTTGTTAACATAGAATCAGCATTCAAAAGTTTAGGGTCAGTAAGGTTCTATTGTATTCTATCTATCTATCTATCTATGACCAGCTTTTTGAAGATGCTGATTTCATTTTCCAGCAGGATTTGGCACCTGCCCACACTGCCAAAAGCATCAAAAGTTGGTTAAATGACCATGGTGTTGGTGTGCTTGACTGTCCAGCAAACTCACCAGACCTGAACCCCATAGAGAATCTATGGGGTATTGTCAAGAGGAAAATGTGAAACAAGAGACCAAAAAATGCAGATGAGCTGAAGGCCACTGTCAAAGAAACCTGGGCTTCCATACCACCTCAGCAGTGCCACAAACTGATCGCCTCCATGCCACGATGCATTGATGCAGTAATTCATGCAAAAGGAGCCCCTACCAAGTATTGTGTACATGTACAGTAAATGAACATACTTTTCAGAAGGCCAACAATTCACTAAAAAATTTTTTTTTATTGGTCTTATGGAGTATTCTAATTTGTTGAGATAGTGAGTTGGTGGGTTTTTGTTAAATGTGAGCCAAAATCATCACAATTAAAAGAACCAAAGACTTAAACTACTTCAGTCTGTGTGCACTGAATTTATTTAATACACGAGTTTCACAATTTGAGTTGAATTACTGAAATAAATGAACTTTTCCACGACATTCTAATTTATTGAGATGCACCTGTATCTATATCTGTTCATTTTGGGGGGGAAAAATACTTCTTTTCTGCAAGGATGCAGTAAATTGATCTAAAGTGACAGTAAAGACATTTATAATGTTAAAAATTCTATCATCATTTACTCACCCTCAAGTTGTTGCTAACCTGTGAGGTTCTTTCTTCTGTTGAACACAAAAGAAGATATTTTGAAGAATGTAACCAAACCTTTGATGGTAGTCATTGACATTAACACTCTTCAAAATATGTTCTTTTGTGACAGTATCATTATTATAATTGCTATACAATGCCAACATTTAATGTAATATTAAAATGAGTTTGAAAAAAATTCATTAATCAGTGACAATATGTGACTAGGATTATCCCATCGTTGACATAATGTGAGTATTTATCTACTGAATAAACTGAACATGAAATGTTTGTTCTGAAACCCATCAGCTATGCAGAAGAGTGTAAGTATTTTTCAATTCTTTCAGTTGGTTAAATATTCACTTTATTACAAATGCTATTTTGGTGGTGCCTGTGCAAGATTTGCCACCATGTTACTAGGGTGTTGTGGGATTGCTATGTAGTTGCTAAGGTATTCTGAATAGTTTTTAATGTGTCGTTGTGCATTTGCTAAGCTGTGTGGTTACTAGTTGGATGCTCAGTTCAAAAGAGCAGACCCAGGTCTCTAGTAATGACTCAGGTCCCTCCATCAGAGTAAGTCTATGAGATTTTTTTCACCCGTTTTATGGTCCGCCATGTGTTTTAGAATGGCTCTATCCCGACTATGAGCCATTTAACTAGAAATGCATGCCCAAGCAAGACTTACAAATCTGGAAACGTGACAAATATTGGCTTTATTTGTTGAATAATGTGATTAAGCAACAGTATTTGTACAGTAGGCCTACAGCTTTCTCATTTGCACAGGCTCTATGTTATCACGCCTAGGTTGTGCTTTTGGGGCGTCATATATAAAGGGTAGTTCCTCTTTGAGGTGAACTTTCCTGTCGCTATATACAGGGCCAAATTTGAGAATTTTACATTGGTTCTGCGACCTTCGGTGACTGAAGACATGACTGCCTTTAAACTGGTGTTTCTCTTTTTCACTGCCCTTCTAGGCTCAGGTAAATGAAATGATCTGTGTGAGTATTTACTGAATTACAAATATGGAATAATGGTGTGTGTGACAAGAAATATTATCATGAGCTATATTAAAAAGTGTGCCTGATTTTAGCCAACAAGGCAATTTACAAATTTTTTTTTCATGTTTTTCTACAAAAATATCTCCCTCAAAACTAGTGTGAATTTGTTTACATTTTACATCTATACACATTTCTCACAATAATATTGTCATGCTTTCCAAACGCATGCAATTCTGAACATAGCCTGCACTGTCGTTTTCATCTTTCATGTAAGTTCAGTGAGTTTCTTGAAAACGCTTTATTTTTAACAGTCAAAACAAGATCTGTTGTTGATAGAACAGGCATGACGAATGTCCTGATGGGTGCGGATGACAATGCGGTGAGTTTTAGGAATGTTGCTTTTGTTTCGTTTGTTACATACTTGTTAAACAAACCGATCCTGTAAATCTGCATTTCAAACCGGCTGGACTGGGCTTATTTTCTTTAGTTTTGTTTCTTAAAAAAATGACCTCCTGGCTAAGAAAAATGATAATGCTAAATGTCATAAACACATATTCCAGATCCAGAATTATTCTTATTTCTAAGACAGATGCAGTTGATTGATTAAAGAAAATAGAAGTTATCATTTTCATATCCTCAAAGCCCTTCGCACAGCACCTGAAATACACCAACCGCAAACTTTTAAGAGTCCCACAAGTCTCACTTCTCTTTATTTCTGCGCCTTTAAGATTAAACATTTGATAAGACCAAATTTTTACAAATAAAGCAATAGAAACTTTGAATATTCTACAATATGTTGTATACTGTAGATGGGTGACATGTGTCAGGACTGCACTCAAATTTTTGAGCTCCTGAAGGACCTCTTTTCCAATGAAGACTTCCAGGTAGATCACACACACACACACACAGACAGATGTTATAGTGAATAAAATGTGTCAAAATTATTTGTTTATGGTTTTTGTAAAATGTTTTGCATGAAAAGTGAAAATCCTCATTTAAAATAAATGCCACTTGGTTTGATATTTGTAACTGTAATAGCATTCATACTTTAAGATTTGATGTCCAAATCATTTTTGGAGCCACCGTGAATCAATTTTGTTTTGTAATATCAATGCAATCATTCATCTAATTTTTTTAGGCCAAATTAGCTGCCACTCTTGAGCAAGTGTGTGATAAGTTGCCTCCCCAAATCACTCAAATCTGCCACGCTGAGGTGGAAAAGATGCTTCCTCTGGCCATCACCTTCATTTCCAGCATGATGGTACGGTATATAGTTAGACTAAAACATGCATTTGATCTATAGGACATGGTATTGTTTCGGTTCGTATTTGGTTGAGAACCACTGCTGTTTATTTTACTGCTAATCCCATCAATCTCTCACTTCAGCAACCCAATGACATCTGTGCTTTTCTTGGAATGTGTGGAGGACGGGACAGTACCAAGATTAGAGAACTGTTGCTTAAGCACATGTCAAAAACTGTACCAGTGACAACTATGAAGGTAACACGTAGAGGAAGTGATTTAGATGCTGTTGTTAGCATGTTCTGCACAGCGGACTAAGATTCTCTGCTCTCTAACACAGATAGAGACGTCCATTCAGTGCTCTGTTTGCACATACGTTGTGAGCACACTTGAGTATCTGTTTCCCAGAGAGAGGACTCAGGTGAAAAATCACATTACACATGGGCAGAGTTCAGAATAATAGCATACTTCTTACTCAATAGTGTGTAGTATACACTGCTTGCTATCCCTTGTGAAAAAGAAGTGGGATTAATTGTATTCAGTGTGCACTTGTAGTGTACTTAAAATCTTAAAAGTATTTTAAAACATAAACAAACGGTACTTTCAGATAATATCATATTAATAAAATAAAAGGCTACTTAAGTGCACTTAATAAGTACACTTTAATGACTATGTTTCTTAACAAACTTCAGTACACTTTTAAAAAGTGCATTTTGTAATAATGCCAGATTATGTTTTACTTTAAATTATATTCTAAATCATTTTTAATCATCTTTTGTCATGCTTTAAAGAAGTACACTTCTTTTGAAGTGTTGACTGACATACTAAAGCACATGTAAAGTACTTGATTATAATTTCAACTGTAGTGTGATATTCAATATTACATTTAAAGTTAATATATTTTAAATGTACTGAATTGCAACTTAATCATGACAATGGTATAATTACAAATATATTTCAATACTGTACGACATACAAGTTTCAATAGCAATGACATGTGTTAGTTTAACATATGCTTGTCAGTAGTATTTCAAACACAATAGGCGTAAAATTACATATAAAATGTACTTAAGTTCTACTTAAGTGGGTCAAAAGAGCACTCTAAAATTCAGCTAATTGCATTTATTATGAATTTAAATTATAATACATTTCATTAAATTGCATTTAACATTCAGTTATGTGTCAAAAATAATTACATTCAGCTCACACACTGTAAAAAAATTATATGTCATGGCAACTTGTGTTTTTACATTACTTTAACTCATCAAAATAAGTTGAGCAATTTCAACTTTTTTACAAGTTATATGAGATACAACTAAAAATGTTTAAGCCAGTTTAAGTTGAAATGACTTATACAACCAAGCTTATTTACCAATTTAAGGCAACAACTGAACTGAATATTTAAATTGCACTTAATAAGTATATTATATTAAAGGATATTATTTCTAACTACTCTTTTTAAAAACATGCTAAAGCGCACTTCTTTTTCACCAGGAATTTCATTTAACTAGTAAGTTAAAAGTGTTAATAAATGTTTCAGTATGCTACACTGTTGTCACACAATCTAATCATCTTTGAAATAAAAAGATTTTTTTGCATTAATTCAATTTTGTTTAAAAAATTTTTGGTAGTCTGATCAAATGAGTCAAAACAAATGCTGAAATTAGGCGGTTAATTTTTTTTTTCCACAATGGAATTAAAAGGCCAAATCAAGTGCATTGTGTTGTGGGATACAGTACACCACACACAGTGCTTCTTATACACTTTTTCAAATGTAGCAGATCATCTGAATATTTCATGTATGCAGACTGTACACTGCAGGAATAGTATGTTAGTATGCCATTCAAAACATACACAGAGTTGGAGTCTTAAAAGTCTTACATTTAATTAGAAAAACCTTGATTCCTAGTGTTTCTGTGATTTTGTACCCTACAGAGCATCATAACTGCGCTGCTGGAGAGTTTGTGCAGCGAGTTTCCTTCTCTGGTTCAGCCACAGTGCAATAAGATGGTTGAAAAATACGTCCAACTGTTGGTTGACATGCTACTGAACAACACTTCTCCTAATTTCATATGCACGCTGCTTCGTTTTTGTGAAATATGGGAGCATCCCGTCAATGGTTAGAGTTCAGACTTTGGGTTACAGTATTTTTTTTTTGCCTTTAAATTAACAATTCTGTAACATAATGAAAGGAACAATTCACAAAAATATTCATCATTTTGTTTTGTTTTGTCCCTATAAACAAATTATTTGACCTCCCACCCTGTTTCTTCCTCCCGCTCTCTTTATCGAACAGCAGCTGTGGCACTTTCGGATTGTGATTCTTGCCTTACATTGGCGGTTCTGACTCATGTTTATCTGGGCACCAATGCCACCGAGCTCCAGGCTGCTTCATTCCTGGACACCGTCTGCCAGCTGCACCCCAGTGCTATGCCAAAGGTTACACATCATTCTGCTCCTTTAAATGAATGACTTTAGAGTGCCCTTAATTTGCAAGTTTACTATAATTTCTACATCTCATCTAGTGTGAGACTTACGTGCAGCGTCATGGGAACCAGCTCCGTGTGCTTCTGAGCAAACAGCAGGGGGCGCTGGACATTTGTAAGGTAAAAACACCCGTGGAATACCCATGGCTCCTGACAATATGCTGAGGTCTTATGAAGCAGTCCGGAATGATGTCCGGTTCATGAACGAATCTTTTTTTTTTTAAACGGTTCTTTTTAATGAACTAGATGAACAAGTTCACCAAATTGGACTGAACCATCTGAAACAGCACAGATCTACAAGTTACTAAATCAAAACTCACTTTCAGACGTGCCTGACAGTCACTCAAACTCGAAATGAGTCAAAACACTCAGCCATCATACCCTATGATGCTAGTTATTGCTAGACTCATTCAAGGCTCCGGTTCCTCCGACAGTCTGAACTGAGGAGTTTATTCACTTTATATGCTTTAGACATGTAAGACATCCACGTTTCACATCATTGTTGGGTGCTTTAATAATATAATTGAGTATATGTTACGTCATTGTGTGATTATGTATAGTGAACTGAACCAGTTCATTGAAACAAACGGTCACAGAAAAGAATCAGATTTACCCGTTTGCCCAAGGCTCTGGATTTCAGACAATAATGTTGTAAACAACGTTCAGTTTCTTGCACAGACCAATCATTTCACTTCATAAGACCTCAATATATAGTCAGGAGCTACGGGTATTAGCCTAATTTTGTGTTCCTTGAAATGCTTTTTTTATTTTCAAAAACGGCCAGCCGCTGACTTGCATTTTATGAATAGGGTATATGTCGAACATCACCTGACCAAACCCGGAAAACAGGTCTCATTGCTTCCGCTTGTCGGAGAACGTGTTAACAGCGTATTAAATAATAGCGAGATCTATGGACTTTTAAGATAATCAGTTAAACTAGCTAGCTGTTTTTATTGTTGACGTTTTATTCAATTTTTATATCTAAATGTGAAAAGAATAAAAATTAAAAAAAACTTTTAGATATCGGTCCGCATATGTGATGGACATTGGTTATGATCATCATTGGTATCTACTTTGAAGGCATCTTGAGTAAAACTGCTTCATATTTAACTAAGCATATGCAAAACGCTTGAACCGGAAGCGACGAGACCCGGTTAACAGAATACGGAAGTCTGTTGCGCATAACCCCTATTAACCAAGCACGGTTTCAGCTAAAAATCTTCTTTACTGTTCTACTCAAGATAAAAAGTCACCTACATCTTGGATGACCTGAGGGTGAATAAATGAACAGCAAATTTTCATTTTTGGGTGAACTGTCTTTTTAAGAAATGTTAATGTGGGGTCACATTTACCATTGTTCTTTTTTTTTTTCTTTTTTTTTATCCAAAATAGTTAAGTTAAAAAAGGTCTGTTGTTCATTGTCAATTGTTTAGCAGTTTATGAAGCACAACTCAACCAGATGTCACTTTAAAGTTTAAGCCAAGCAGGTTTTCAAGGCTTAGTTGGTCAGCTTGGTGAATTTGATTGACCAGCTTGAATCCAATGTAAAATGTGCGTGAGGAAATCTTTCACCCTCACGTGAATTTCCTGATCGCATAGATTCCTACTAAAATGATTTCACCTGCAAAAATTTGCTGTCCAAAGATAAATGTGAGCACACCAATTTGTTTACCTGAAATCTGTTGTGTAAAGCAGTGGTTCCCAACCCTGGTCCTGGAGGCACCTCAACACTGCACATTTTGCATGTCTCCTTTTCAGTGTTGGGGTGCCTCCAGGACCAGGGTTGGGAACCACTGGTGTAAAGCACTGATATAGCCTATATTCTTGAATAGGCCTATAGATCAGTAGGTATAGGCTTACCACATCATGTACAAACAGTCTTTTTTTAACCATATAATATCTTGTTATAACGAGAAAAACATTGTTTTTAAGACAAAATATGTCATTTTTGTGAAAAAACATCGTTTTAAGGGGGAAAAAAAGTCATTTTAATGACATAGGATCATGTTATTACGACATAATTGAGTGGAAAACGTTACCGTAGTAATGAGTACAGTCTTCATATCATGTGAGTGTACACCATTCAGATGACTCTTCACAAAAACTGAATACATTTTATAAACTTCAATTGAGTTTCTAACAAATATGATATGGTTAAATGAACTTAATAGTTTGAAATGTTCAAATAAGATATTTTTCTCTTTTCTTTGACCATTTAGAGGGCAAATTTGTGTGTTTCTGGTGAGAGGAAGCCTGTCATTGCTGCTGCCCCCTGTAGCCTGGGACCAATGTACAGCTGCAGAGACCTCCAGACTGCTGTCGACTGTGGGGTAAGTGCACTGAAAAGCTTTTTAAATTAATAAGTGTGCAAATTCTAGCATTCAAATAATCTTTATCTTATGTTCTGAATGTTTTAAGTTATATATTTATGGAACTCCTACAGGCAGTTTCCTTCTGTCAGAAGAATGTGTGGGAATAATCTGTTTCTGCTGTCCATACATGGTAAATGTCATCTTATAATTTGCCAAATGTCAACCAATTGCTAATAAATTGATAACTTACTGTCGCTTTGAGTCATTACACCCAGTTTACCTTATTCACACACAGAGAGCAGCCTCTTTCATAAGCATGACTCGTATATGTTCAGTTTGCCTTACATCAAATATAAGTGAACTTCTGGTTCAACATTAACATATAAACATAAAAACCCAGTATGTGTCACGATTGCCTACTGTGAGGAGCGAGGGACGAGGAGACAAGGGAATATCACAAACAGCAGTCTTTAATAATCCAAAACAAGGGTTACACAGAGCTGGCTGGAGACACACGTAGCACATCACAACGTTCAAGACCCGACAAGGAAACATGGGGCAGACTACACTTTAAATACTAAACTTAATGAGGGATAATTAATGAACACAGGTGAATCAAATGAAGCAATAAGACAAGGGAGAAAACTAGGTCACGGCGCACATGGGGAGAAAAACACACACAGACAGGTCCATATCCCTGACAGTATGTATTGATCAGTTTTTGAGTTTTTAAACTATGTTTTTGTGTTTTCTTCCAATAACGGAATCAAAGGTTTCTTGCATTTGTGTGAGGTATAAAAACATCTCAGCATCTGTGCATTAACAGCTTATATGAAAGGCTGATGGACCTGCTGGACCAACGCCATTTTCCTCCTGTCCTGGATTTTCATGGTTATATTTGCTTTTCAAGTTGAAAACGAGGGTCACAAAGTCATATGCTTGGATGATATCTTCAGCAAACAAGATAAAATAGAACAAACCCAGTATAAAAACAAGTTTTCTGGAGCAGCTGTTATTTTAATAAAAAGAAATACTGTTGCTCAAGCAACATCATTGATCTCACCATATTTTATCAGTCTTTTCAGTGGCTTGCACAAGCGTTCAGAGAGGTCGATTCAAAGTTCATTTACAATATTATCTTTAAATATTTGATCAGTGATAATGTATATTTTTCAACTAAAACATTTTTGTAGTTATTAGAGGATGTTCAATATGCTCCCTACAAATATTTTCTGTGGTAACCATAGTTTCGGATAAAATATCATAGTTACTAGTTATTGGTGTTAGACACCACTGTCACATCAAAATAACTATATCACTATAGTGTTTTATCTGAAACTATTACTATGGTAAATTATTGGGAAACACTTTACAATAACCTTCCTTAGTTAATGCATTAACTAGCATGCACTATCAATGAGCAACACATTTGCTACCGTATTTATGAATCTTTATTAATGTTAGTTAATAAAAATACAAATAGTCATTGCTACTTAGCTAACTAAGGTGTACTAATAAAGTTTATTATATATACATATATATATATATATGATAACTGAGGCTTTTTCCAGTTTATTAGGTTAAAGCAAAAGGCTAGAACATCTGAGTGTGAAAAATGGTGATACACATATTTGGGATTAAGTCCAAATAATGCCACTAGGAGACATGGTTCAACATCTAGAGACCAGAAATTGACTTGAATATGTCCAGAAAACTGAATCTTGGGCAAAAAGTATGGCAAAGAGTTGCTGGAGCTTGTCGACATCTATCAGAATCTTGATCTGGGTTGAAATGATTCAATTTAGTCTATTAATCAATGTTGTCCAATAAATTCTGTCTAATAACTTAAACTGCATTAGTGAGTGATAAGCACAAATAGGGGAGGAATAGGGCAAAGGACCTTTTGCCATTCCTCGTCTGTGAAAACATAGTTAAGATCTGATTTCCAATTCTGCTTTTTTTATTTTATTTTTTTCAGTTTTTTTCAATTGCTAACAAGTATTGTTCAATACTGAAGTCACATTTTCAAAACTGTTCACACATTCAGTGGTACAGAAGTCTATGCTAAACGAACTGTGAATCATTTTTCATTGCTTTCAGACAAAATGCATTCAATGACCACATTTCTCAAAATCCACAAACACTTTTGTCATTCATACTCCACAACCTGCAAACCACTATATTTTCAGCACATTTTCAGTTGCTAACACACTGCTTTCAAAACGGATAAAAGCACATTCAGATCAGAACAATGGTAAAACTCTGTCCATTTCTGCAGGAATTATGTTGAAATGTCAAAATATTAGCAGAATATTTACCGTGAAATTTAATAATAATTATTCCAAACACAACTAGCTGCAATTTCAGCTGAAAGCCAAGCCAGATGTCCTATTTGTAGTTTTTTTTTTTTTTGGTGATCTTTTCAATAAACAAATAGGATAGATGCCTTCAGAATGATTTTGTTTGGAAACATGGATCAAGGAAGACACATTGGTGGGGAAAAAAAGAGTGGCAGAGAGGGAGGAACACTCACAATACATCCATCCATCTATTCCATACATTTTCCAAAGCACTTGTCCTAGGGTCATGGGGAGGCTGGAGCCTTTCCTGGGTCATAGGCAGGAAAACCCCCTGGACAGATGGCCAGTCCATCACAGGGATGACAAACACACACACATTTATATTCACACTCACTTACAGTCTCCAGTTCACCTGTCCTGAATGTCTTTGGATTGTGGAAGAAACCCAAAGGAAACCAACGTCAACACAGAGAGAACAAACAAACTCCACACAGAAAGGCCTCCTGGAGCAGCTGGGACTCCAATACTCCACATACCTCAATGTACTAGACATTTGTTTTATTTTTGTAATTGCTCAAGGAATTTATTCTTTTTTTGGAGACAGCTATCATGATCAGGCAGGGAAGAGTAGAGATGTGGATGTAGAGATGCAGAGATGCAGCTTTAAGGAATTCCACTCAATTTCAAGCCATGCAGGAACCCAATGACAAGTTCATAGTGAAACTGACTTCAAAATAAAATGCTAGGCAAGGAATGAAATAATCCAAGAAATGTGAAGGTGCAAAACTGCCTTACATTTTGGGTTGCTGGGTTCTTTCTGAACTTAAACTTAAAAAATAGATAACAAAAGGCTCCATAGCTATCGTAGACAAGGGTGGGGGATTCCTGTACCATGGTAAAGAGGAAGTCACGATTAATGCTGTGGGTTTTTTTTTACAGGTAGATGAGTATAAGGCAGAGGTTCTCAATTTTGGCCTTCAAGGTCCACTTTCCTGCAGCGTTAGTTAGGTTCAACCCTAATCAAACACACATGAACAAGCTAATAACGGTCTTCAGGATCAAGGGTTTTCAAACCTGTCTTGGAGGACCCCCATCCCTGCACATTTTGTATGTCTCCCTTATCAGACACACCCAATTCAGGTCTTGCAGTCTCTACTAACGAGCTGATGGGTTGAATCAGGTGTGTTCTCTAGCGGCCAGTTGATGAATTACAGTTTAAGTCACGTCCTTGTTGGCTTCACGAGAGAGAGCTGGAGGTTGCCGCTTGGAGCAGAGGATATACCGTTTGTAAAATCACGTGACCATACAGAGCTTTGGAAGTCCGTGACACACAAGAGTGGAATCAATCTGTGATCAGTACAGTTCCAACTAATCTGATATAATCTCATCTAAATTAATTTGTGCCAATGAGACCAGAACTCGTGTCATGTGTAGCCTGCTCAACGGATTCACATATTGATCAATAATATAAAATACGCAAGCATGTGATCATAGTGCATAATTGACGTAGGTAGCTGAAAAAATATTTTGTGTGAGCTGTTTAACCTTTATGTTCTGCTTGGGGTCTCTGAGACCCCAGCTATAAAATATGATTCACTTTCTGTGGTGTTTTGAGGTTACAGTCCCTTTGCATTCCGATACTGCATGACGTGCGAAGCTTCAAACGTCATCAATCACGTGATGTTGTCATTACGCTCAAGCATGGGGCACAGTGTGTGATACAATAGTGCTTTGAAAACTGCGTCGGAGCCTCGGAGCCGCTGTATCATCCGTCCCATCACTATTAAAACGATGCAAAGTTTACATAGCCAAAGTGAGAGCTGCTAACTATGAATGAATAATTAATTCCCACGAATTAAGAATTCGTGCGCTAGTTTTATTAATTACGACATTCTTAATTCGTGGCCATGATTTAATTAAACCTTGTTGACTTAATGACTGTAATAAGTAAATCTAGCCAGCACATTAATTAAACTTAAAAAGATGATAAAAGCATGTTGATAATGTGAGATGTGTCAGATTTACCTAGCTTACTGTATTCGTGTGAAAACTTGTTTAATACTCATTGTTTTACCATTAGTTAAGTATAAATCATCTTTCATAATTAAACTGCGCTGACTGCCTGGTTGCACCACAATATGTGTTATTAGCCTGTCGTTTTGGCATTGTTTTGCAGTGGTGAATGAGACGTTTGGCAGTTTTAATAGTTAATCTGCAGGTCTACACCACATACAGTCCATGGTTATCATGTGTTAGTTTCTGTCATGTTCTGCATGGCCAATATGAAGTGATTTTATGGATTTGGTTAGTTACAGGGATCTGAGGAGCATTTGGTGGTACTTTAACAATGCTCACGTTTATTCATCTTTACTATCTTTTAACTAGCTGCAAATTATTGTATCTTTATCTTAAATGTATCGATCTCCTCAAAATAATTGTTTTGCACCATGGTTTGCCATAAATATACATTCTTGAATCATTCTTGAGTCTCGTGTCTTGCCTCTCTATGGGTCCTATTATGCTTTTTCACTTTTTCAACTTTAGTTAGTCTGTAATGTTGCTGTTTGAGCATAAAAAGATCTGCAAAGTTACAAAGATCAAAGTCCACTTCAAAAGGAGATATTTTATTTAACAGAAATCACTTTTCAAAAACTACAACGAACGACTCGTTTGGACTACAACGCATTTTTCCGGGATTTGTGATATCACAAATATTGAGCTTTACAGATCTTATTTATGCACCAAGAGCTTGTAACACTCCAAAGAGAAAGGAAAAATTGAAATCGCATCATATGACCCCTTTAAGAGTACATTTATTTGTTAAAATTTTAAATTGTGACTCAAAGCAGGTATTACACACTTTGTAATTAACCTCCGATGCATTTAAAATCAAAAATCGCAATTGAAAAAATGTTTTTCCCTGAGATTCAATATCTTTGATAACGTGTACAAACATTACTACAAACTAAACCACCACGGTCCTGAAACTGCAGCTTCCGCTATATCATCCAATTCGGTAAGTGGCGCTGTTACAAAAAACTAGGGTCCTGGAAACGCGGTCCTGAAACTGTAGCCTCCGGTTGTGCAGGAACATACTATTGTTGAAAAGGACTTTTCTTACTAATTCTCCCCATCACAACTCTAAGGCCGCATTTACACTGCATCACGTGACCCAATTCCGATTTTTTTTTCCTCCCTTGTGGCACAGATCGGATATGGCCCAGGAACCGTGTAAGCAGGAAAAAAGCACATGGATTCCGATATACTCAGATTGGTTTCAGGCCTCATTCATATGTGGAAATAAATCTGATATGAATCGGATAGGTGCATTTGCGCCTGCCGTGTAAGCGGACAGATCGGATATTCCCGTTAACGCGAGTTGGATGTCAAATGTTTCTGAAACATCTCGCTGTAAAGATACATCTATTACAAATGAAACATCTCTAACGTTAATTGACTAGCAGAGTATAAATTTTGTTCGTTTTTGTTAAA